GGTTTGTTCACTTTTTTTTTTTTAAAAAAAATGAAGGTATCTATTTGAGATTTTAAAAAGTTTTTAAAGTTTATTAATTTTAAATTCAAAAAAACTTAAACTTAAGACTTTTGAGAATTTGAATTAAAAACAATACTAAAATTGTTTGAGACTTTCAGAGGTATTTGGGGATTTATTTTATTTTGAGGTTATGTGAAATTTTTCAATGCTATTCAAAATAAAATGTCTCATCAACAAAACAAACTCAAATGAAACATCTCAGTCTCATATATATTAATTCAAAACATGCTGAGTATAAGTATGGCAGACCTGCAAGCTTTGAAATGCTATAGGCCACAATATCATGTTTTGTATTTAGGTTCAGATAAAAAATTTTGAAAAAAATTGGCTTGAAAAGTGGCATAAATAATTTTTCCACCATACATTATCGCATTCTATCAATCTCTTTCATTACCAATCTTGTCTTGAATTTAAAGATCATATAAATCTTTCTTTCCTTATTTTATTTTATGTCTCCTTCATCATATTTTTTTTTTCAAGTTGATAAATTTTAGCCTATTTTTTGAGTCTGTGTATTTGTTTGCGTAATGAATAATAATGAACTAAAATTATATGTTATAATTATATTGATAATATAATTAATGAAATCTTAACTAAACATGTCTCTTATTTTAATTCTCGTCAAATCTAGCCCTTATCTTAATTATTATCCCTTATCTTATTTTTTCAAGTTGATAAATTTTAGCCTATTTTTTAGCATGTATTTTTGTTTGCGTATCGATGAATTAAAATTATATATTACTAGTGCGGTACCCGTGCGATGCACGAGCTAGTTTTATTAAGGTAAGCAGTTAAATTTAGATGATTGGAAGAACGTAAAATATATATATTGAAATGAAACACAATGTAACGTTATATATTATTAAACACATCATTGTAAACAAAATCATTTGTTTGGTCCTTTGGTACATCGTCTATCGCACAAATTATATTAAGATTGTAGATAGTCTTAAATAAATCGATTAAATTATTTAGCAGAATATATACGATATTTTGTAAGTGTATGAAATTATTATTTATTTTGTAAGCGTATTCAATCAATTTCAAATTTGTATTCTAGATAATTAAACAAAACCCAAATTTTTAGGATGTTACAATCCGATTTCATTTTGAATTTCAAATTAATATTATATGATTTTGTTTTATGTTTAAAATAAGTCCGAATTAAAGAAAGTAGTAATCAAATGATAAAAGATTTTTAAATTTTAATTTGAAATTTGGCCCGATTTTTATGTAATCTGATTTTTTTAATAAACATGATCTGCTACAATTAGGTAAAGATACATGTTACAGTGTTTTGTCTAATTCAAAATTCTCGATTGTATGGTAAACAATTTTTTTTTTTAAAAAAAAAAAATGACTTTTACAAAATTGTCATTCTGACTATATGGAATTAGTAAAAGATATATGTGATAATATTCTGCCTAATTTGAAATTCTTGATTTTATTCTAATCAATTTTTTTAATAAAAATAGAGAAAGAAAATTGACTTTTGCATCAATCGAAATTTACCTAAATTAAATCAACAAAATATATAAATTTAGGGTGCATATTAGAAAAAATAAATTGTTGTAACATTTCAAGATTAAAAATCAACCGTAATTAGTTTTAATTAAAAAATAATAGTTTCCAAACAAAACACTTTAGTTAGCAAAAAATTTATGGTATGTAATATTGTTTCTTTAAGGTAGCATGATTTTTTGAAAGAAAAGTAACAAATACCATAATTTTAGGGTAGAGTTTAATGCTGATTTTTTTGAAAAAGAAAAAAAAAAAAAAAGAAAGTTACTAAGTATGAAATGTAATTAATGCTAATTGAGATTTGACTAGAATTTGACCTACTATTTTTAAAATGGTAATTCTTTTTATATAGATATAGATAATTATATTAATAATAATGAAATCTTAACTAAACACCCCTCTTATCTTATTAATATTAACATCTTGATTTATGGATATCACAATTCATTAAAAATTTATGCTACAACAAGGATGAAAAAATTGTAAGTAGAACTAATAATGTTGTGTTCAAAGAGATTCTGAGAATTTAAAATACCAAGTAGTTTTTGTTTGATAAAACTTTCATTTATTTATTTTGTGTATTATGTATATACTTACAATAACTAAATTGTTTTCTTTTTTTGCTCAAATTATTTTTTCATGCACTGTACTAATATAGTACACATGTGTCGAACTAGTATGTAATCTAGTATGTAATTTATGGTAAACAAACTCTTATTATTCCCCTCTTTAATAAACCACATTGAACAACGTAAGTTAGACTAGGGGTGTTCACGGTCCGGTTTTAACCAGAAAAAACCGTCAATTCGAACCTCGGATCGGTTAAATGGTCGGTTAAAAAAGCCTTAAAAAATTCGGTGGTTAAATTTTTTAAAATCTGGAATAACCAGTCCGGTTAACGGATTACCTGCGACAAACCGCCGGTTTAACCGGACCGGACCGGTAAATATTAAAAAACTATAACAAATTTATATATACTTTCAGTCATTCACTATGACCGAAAAATGAATGCTTGCTTGGGTTCAGTTTGCATAGTTTAATCTTCGTCATTTTTGTGTTTTATGTTTATGGGACAAAATGTGTATTTTTATGTTTATGGGACGAATTGTGTATTTTTTATTTCATTATTGATGTTTTTCTTAATATTTACGCCCAAATAATCTCTTTTGGGCCTAAAATTGAAAAATAAAAAATTAAGCTCCAAATGAAAAAAAATAAAAATCGAAGGCTCAAAATAAGAATTTTGGATTTAACCGGTTAACCACCAAACCGGACCGTCCAATGCGGTCCGGATTGTGACCAGTTAAAAAATAAAACCGGTCCGGTTATGGAAAAGAAAAAAAATTAACCGTTAGATCCGATTTGGTCATGGTTTGGGCTAAAACCTGACCAATCCGGACCGTGAATACCTCTAAGTTAGACAGTACATAACTACAGGGTACATTAAGAGCATCTCCAATGCTCAACTTTCAACATTAATTAAATTTGAGCACATGTCAATCAATGGAATAATGTTTAATCTACATGAATTTAATGTTAAAAGAATAGGACTTTCATTTGAATTGTTAACTCGAATGCATTCATTCAACAACGATACAATTTGTATATGTGGATTTATTCATTTATTAATAAAGTAAAAGTGTGTATTAGAAAAAAAAAACCACAAATCCCAATAATTATATGCATGATGTTTTTTTTTTTTTTTTTTT